ATTTATACTGGTTCACCACCTCGTGGCTAGTCCAGTCCTCCGAGAGACTCTCTCGAAAGTCCTACTAATCTTCAAGCTTCAACAGGTGCTTGAAAAACCGGTACAACTTGAGAACTTGAATCACACAAGCCTCACTTTCTTACAACAACAAGACTTGAGTCACACAAGTCTTAAGAACAACACTCAAATGAGATTGAGTTTACAACACAAGAATGAAAGCTCACACAATTGAGCAAAGTAGTGTTTGAAGAATTAAAGCTCTATGGATGACAAAATCTTTAGCACTCAATAAAATATTTCTAACTCTCAAAATAATATATTTGATGAGGAAGATGGAAGCAAGAATTGAATATTGATCAATGAAGATGTTGGAGTGCAAGAGATGTGTGTTTGATGAAGGAGGATGAGGTTTTTTATAGGGTTAAAAGAAATAAATCCGTTGGAAGTAGGGAAGAGGTGATTTTGACAGATTGGAGCGTTGGGGATCGATCCAGGGCAAAAGATCGATCATCTCGAGTAAACTTCCGAAAATAAATTTGTGTCAAAAGCACGGGGGATCGATCCATGGCAGGGGATCGATCCTCTGGAAACAAAATTCAGGGGACGGATTTTTGCAAGGCTACGGGGGATCGATCCATGCTCAAGGATCGATCCTACGAATCAATTTGGGAAAAAATATATGATCGATCCATTCACTTGGATCGATCCAGGCTCGGATCACTCTGCACAGGTGATCGATCCAGGAAGGATGATCGATCCACTAACGAACAATGGCCAAACAAGGAGGACCCAAACCATGTGTGCGAGTGGGGAGTACAATTGGAGCGTAATGTATTATTTTAGACAACAATTTGAACATGATAAGGCTCCCATAAACAAACAAATCAAATGAGTTGAAAAGAATTAATTCAAATTCAAAATTTGAATTAAATAATGAATTTTTGGTGTAGAAATTGAGTCCCAAAAATATTTTGTGTGTCAAACAATGTACAAGAAAAATCTTTAAAGTACATTTTTCTTACCACAAAAAATTTGTGTATCCTTAAATAATATAAAAAAAAATTTGACACACTATTTTGAAACTGACTCAAAAGAATATTTTTAGAGAGAGAAAAAATAATTTTTCAACTGACTCAAGAAATAATAATTTTTATCCCTCAAAAAATTAATTTGTTTATGCAAAAATTATTGTCATCCTTACAAGAATCCTAGACTCAATAAAAATTAAAAAGTCTTCGGAGTCTTCACTTCACTTCAAAAATCTGCGTAGGGGTGATCGTCGATTTTTATCGCCGTAAACTTCTTGATACCCTTCTTTGCTTTTCTCGATACGAAAAATAAATTTTCGAATATCGATTGAATTTAATCATCCTGTTTGTCATTCATCAAAACAAAAAATATTCCAGAAAATAATAAAGGGGTTTGAACTCATGTCCAACACAATATATATTGAAGAGGTGGACTAAAAATGCCAAAAATAGACACTTGACAGTTGAAGGAAGTGAAAGGGCTCAAACAAGGGTGCAAATGTACAACAATCTGTGTAAACGGGCCATTGAATTGGGTGAAGTAGGTTCTTTATCTGAAGAGAGTTACAATAAATAGGAGTTTATGATTGATTCTTTATCGCACATACGTTATTGAAAAATAATAAGCACCCAACTTCCCTTCGTAGCCTATTTTGAAAAATCATTTGTTGGTGGCCTGGTCGCCCCTATTTCCATTTGTACCCGCAACAGGGGAGGTAATTGCTCAAATTATTACAAGGTTTATGTTTGATGTTGATTAAATAAAAAGCTTTGTGTTTGATTTCATATAGTGGTAGATTAAGGGTCTTGAAAAAAAGGATTGAAAGTGTTTGGAGGGAACATACGAGTAAATGAACTCAAGTTTGACTTTTTGTTGTTTGGTGAGAAGCTATTGAACCTAGCTCGAAAACATGGAAATGAAAAATTTGAATCACCAATTTTTGGCAATATAAGAAATGAAATCTTTGTTCTAAAGGAGAAGAGAAGAAGATAAAATAATTGAGAACGTACGAGTAGTGAGTTCAGGTATTGGACCGGGCCAAGTGGGCTGACTGACATGGTTGCTAGCTTGGACATTTTTAGGTTAAATCATAGGTGTATTTCTCAATAATGTAAAAGTAGTGTCAAATCTCTCTCATTGCTCAATGTACTTTATATCAAATCCATTTAATTTATACTTTTTCTATTTTCAAGCATTTAATGGATGGATTAATAACTTCATTTTCCAAACTTCATGTCAAATCAAAATAAATAAATGGGTACTGTATTAATATGGAACCGCGTGCGTAGTTATGTTGATGCCTCGCTCGATACGAACTTTATGTCAAATCAAGATAAATAAATGAGTAGTGTACTGATATGGAACTGCGTGTGTAGTAATATTGGTACGTGGCTCGATGCAAATTTTATGTCAAATCAAAATAAATAAATGGATAATGTATTGCTATAGAACTTCGTGTCTTTATTATTTGATTATATGATGTTATTGTAATTTAATTTTAGTATCATTTTCTTTCATCAATGCTTTTTCTAATTATATAGTTTATAATTAGGCCGTGCAACGCACGGGTACGAGTCTAGTAATAATAAGAATAAGACATTGTCTCATAAAAAAAACAGGAATTCGTTGACACTAGCTTCCAGTGTGACTAGTGGTGTCATTGCAATTTTGAAGCACTTCTGGTGCTTCGTTTGCAAAATTGATGGGACCTACCCCACCTAACCCATTCCCTAAACTGCCAACCCACACCCTGCCCCTTCCCAGGCTCCGCCCTAAACCCCCTCTAAATGTGTGACTAATATGCAAATGTCAGCGGTTATTATTATTATTAGTGATTTAGTGTCACTAATGATGTCACTGTGTTTTTTTAAACACAACCTGTGAATAGAGCACTAGTGATGTCATTTTTGTGAATAGAGCACTAGAAAATGCTGCGGCACCGGAGTGGTAGCGTTGGCCAATGTCAACGGAACCGTGCACTATACATTATATAGTACTCCATTCCTAATATTAATAATTTTCACGATCCTAATTCCCTGGTAAACCCCTAGCCCGACCCATCTCCAATTGCATTATCCCTTAAAATTTGTTGACTTTGGGGTCTTTTGACACCAAAATAAAAAAAATAGAGGAGTTCAATGAAGAGAATGCGAGGATGCGTTAGAGACGGGTCAGGATAAGGGGCCTAGCGAAGGGATTAGGGAAGTTAGAACAACTAATTTTATGAGCGCGACAGCGTAAGTGTTCCAATGAGACCAATATCAATGTCAAAAGGCCTAACCTTAATAATAATAACAACAATATCAAGATAAGAATAGTTGTACTCCACACAATTACGTCTAAGGAGTAATATAGAGTAGTTATTATCACACAATTACGTCTAAGGAGAGAATAAGAGAACTATAGATATATTTAATCAAACTAACATGCTTTTGTTATGTTAAAAAAAACGATTTTATTATTACTCGTGTAATTTGATTTTAAAAAATGAAGCTGAAAGGGTCATGCTAGCTAGAGTGCCCCTAAATGGTTACTATCAGGGGTGCATTATGCTTCGCACAGATGACATAGTTGATAATCATATGTGCGACACAGATGCTAATTATCTGTGCGAAACATGGGAGCATCCCTGGTAGCAACCATTTGGAGGCACTATAGCATTTTTCTTTTTTAAAATGAAAGGAATACTACACTTGTACATGTAGGAGGTTGTCTAACTTTGTGGGTGAGATGGTGTAGGAGGTTCTCACACGGTCACACTCCCTCATATTTTTTTTTAATAGGGTAGAAAATGAAACTTTATTTTGAAACAATTATCTTACACACATATAAGATATTGGGTAATTTACCTAAATATGACTAAAACATAATAACTTTCTCAATATAGGACCATATGTTTTTATTTCCCAATGTAGGACTATTGGTCATTATCTATTAGTCATTATTCAACTAAATGTCCAGCATCACTTAGACATTATTCTTCTCACTGGTCATTATTAAGTCCTATTTAGGGAATAAAAAAGTTTAAGTCCTACATCGGGAAATGACTTATGTTTTAGTCGTATTCACTGCAAATTTCACTAAGATATTTGCCAAAAAATGCTTGAAGTATCACATGACTTTTGATGTGAATAAACATATAAAAGTGTACGTGAATAAATATTTTGTGATTAGGAAAATGGTAGGTACAATTTGGGGGACCCTAACATTATTCGTTTGTAATTATTTGATAAAATAAAATATTTTTGTCACTTCCTATTTTATAGAGTGTTTTATATAATTTTTAAACATAAATTTTTACTAGCATCACTCCCGTGCGATGCACGGGTCATACTTATATTACTAAATTAAGATCATTTTTAAAGGATACGGGAGTACAATTTCTTATCTAATACTCCCTCCGTCTCTGAAACATCTTCCACTTTCATATCCTACCTATCACATCATACTTTTTACTAATAATCTATCTATCACATCTTAGTTTTCCCAATCACATCAAGGATATTTTTGGAAAGTCAACACCAAAATATCCCTCCCTTAATTTTCCAAAAAGTCAATAAGGTAACTTCTTTCGAGACGGAGGGAGTAGAATATAAAAATTTTATTATTTTAAGGTACAAAAGTTAATTGTTTTATAAATAACGAAAGACTTCTTTATAAACTACATTACTCGTATAATTTTTATATATCAAACTTTAAAACATTTACTTATTTAAAGACTTCTTCATGATTTTCTACTTCGAAAGCATGAATCTTATTTAAGAACTCAAGAGAGTGTAAGTCATTAAAAAAATTTGAAAGAAGCTAATTACGAAAAGTTATTGAGAATAACTGTATTTAAGGTATGAAAAAATCAAAGTATTTTTATATTTCCATGCATCTAATTTTTTACGGGTAAGTTATTAATTAGTGGTTGATTGTTCAACATATAAAGGTATATATATTATTCAATATGTTTCCATGTATTAAAGGCACACCTCTTAAAACGATGTCTCCATAAAACGCTAAGGCCTGAATCTCTAAATGGAAACATTATTAAATTGAAAGCTTATTTGGTTAGAATTATTACACGATATAATAACTAAGTATGATAATATTATTACAGGGTATATTATTATTATTATTATTATTATTCTTTCACGATAATAAATTAATAATGATTAAATACATTAATATTATTACACAGTATATTAGTATTATTATTTTTTCTACACGGTAATACATGATTTATTCTTGCTACAAAGTAATTTATGATTTAATTATTATTTCTATATTCAACACTTAACATATGTGCCACCATTCCTATGTATTACTTTGACATTTTTTTATATTTAATTTCTTTTATTATTTTTTATTTTGATATTTTTAATTGTGCCTTCCTTAAATGCATAAACTTATATATTTAAATTTCTTCATAAAATATTTGGCACCGAATCTCTAAATGGAAACATAATTAAATTTAAAGCTTATTTTCTTAACATAATCACAAAGTGAAAAATTAATAATGATTAAATATGGTAATATTAAGTTTGGCCATGTTCTCTAAATGGAAACATTTTTAAATTGAAAGCTTCTTAGATTAGAATTATTAGACGATAATAATGACTAAGTACGGTAATTTTATTACACAGTATATTATTATCATTCTTCTTACATGGTAATAAATTAATAATGATTAAATACGGAAATATTGTTACACGATCGATATATTAATATTATTATTCATGTTACACGGTAATACATGATTTATTCTTATTACACGGTGATTTATAATTTAATTATCATTTATTTATTCAACGCTTACTATATGTACCACCATTTATATGTATTACTTTGACATTTCTTTTAGATTTGATTTCTTTCTGAAAAGGAAACAAATAGTTTGTATGATTAAAATGATTTGTTTCTTAATTGGAAATTATATAAATTACGAAACTGTAAATTTAATGCATTGATTAAAAAATTTACACCTTAACATGATTATTACCTTTTATGGAAAAATCTTATTTTTAGTTGAATGGTAATCATTTTTTATTATATCAATTCTAATTTTATAAAAAAGTTCGGTATTAGAAAAGAAGTTTATATAAATAATAATTTTTATATTTTGTTTCCTTTTTAGAAATATATTAGGCATGCGAAATTTCCTTTAATTTATCATTATAAATAAGAATAGAGTAATTAAGTAATTATGCATGCGAAATTATTCTAAAAAGGAAACAACGTAGATCTTGCTTGCAAAATTAGTCCCTTCCTTTTTTATCAGAATTAAGTAATTATGCATGCAAAATTTCCTTTAATTTATCATTTCATTATTCTTAAAAGTATTTCCTTTTAAGAATAAAGTGATTAAGTAAATAATTACCTATTTAATTAGGCATATATAATTACTTTTTGATAAAATAATCGGGCATAAATTATTCCAAGTAATTATAATAATAATAGTAATAATTAGGCGTAAATAATTACCTATTTAAAAAGTAAACAAAATATAAAAAAATCTCCTATACCGTCCCTTCCTTTTTTATCACAATCAAGTAATTAGGCGAAATTGGTTAGGAAACAAATTACTTCCTTCCTTTTTTATCAGAATAAAGTGATTATGCATGCAAAATTCCCTTTAATTTATCATTCTAAATAGGTAATATTACACAACCAATCATAGCCGTAGATCTTATTTGTTCCTTAATATCGACGGTGCAGGAGATGAGTGCATTGGGCGGGAAAATAATTCCCCTGCTTTTAAGAATAGAGTGATTTTTTATTTCTTTAACAATTGATAAATAAATCATTTTAAAAATTACATGGTTTTACATGTTGATCAAAGAAAGAAATTTTCTGAGTGATGGAGAGAGTACTATCTTTTAATTTAACTTTAAATTTTAGTTAACTGAGTGTGAGGTCCAAGTTCATCATGGATAGTGCCAATTCGACACTTCACAATTTACAGATCACAAGATATCAAATCGAACTGCGGTACGGAGTATTTGAGAAGGATGGAGCTGACCAATTAGAATCCTCTCATGGGAATGAACAATTAATTGGTAGAGTAGGAGAAGCTATATATGGCCAAGAATCGCCTCCATACATGTGGGGTTTAACATCTCCAGCAAGGCAATAATCAAACTTTAATCCTCATTGGCTAAATGTCATATCTCTCCCGGAAGATTTTACTTAAATAGCACTAAAACATGCTGTAATAACTTTCCCTATATAGAACCAGTGAATCTGGGTCGGGCTTGATATAAATTTTTAACTCATTTACATGGGCGGCCTTGGCCCGACCCGGATTTGATGGGCTAAATTATTTACCCATACATAGGGGTGTTCAAAAATATCCGATCCGAAATATCCGTCCACGATCCGGGCCGATCCGATCCGAAAAATGGATATCCGATCCGATATTTTAGCTTTCGGATATTTTGGATCGGATACCCGAAAAAAATCGGATCGGATATGGATTCAATTTTTGGAATTTTTCGGATAACCGGATATCCGATTTTTTTTTTGCTATATATTTTTTGAATTTTATGGATATATATTATGACTATATGTTTAAATGTAAGTTTATATTGATTTTGGAACTCAATCATTTTGGANAATTTCGGATATCCGAATATTTTCGGATCGGATATGGATTGAGTTTTACATGATCCGAAATTTTCGGATATCCGAATTTTTGGATCGGATCGGATCGGATCGATCCGATTGAACACCCCTACCCATACATGTCCATCTTTACGGGCCGGACTGCCCACCGGGCTGCCCGGCCCGGATAAATTAGCAAGAAATTTTTTTGGTACAAAAAATTTAAAAAAAACATTGAACTCTTTTTTAATATTTAAAATAAAATAACCAGTCACCACATTTATATAGAAAGCATAATAGAGATATTGTTGCATAATTAATAAACTTATCATACTGATTTATTAAAAGAGTATCGATTTTTGTTTAAAATAGGTGAGTGAATTAAACTATTATATGAATTATAGAAAATTTTAAAATTTATATTAGCTAGGTAATTAATTATAAAGTAAATATATTTGATGAATATGGGCGGGCCTGTTGGCCCAGATGGACTAAAAGTAACTTCCAGATCCGCCCATATATAATTTGGGCTTGGGCCGGCCCGCCCATTTGGGTATTAAAGGTTGTCCATATCCGCCCTTTTTAAAGGGCGGGCTGGGCGGGCCGAACGGGCCGACCCTTGTTTGCACAGGTCTAAGCACCACATATGTTTTTCTTTCCAATGTAAACACTTTTAGTAATTATGCAGTAGTCATTATTCAAGTAAATATTTGTCATCACTGGACATTATGAATATTATTAAGTGCTATTTAAGGAATAAAACAATTTAAGCGATATTTACGGAAATGACTTAAGTTTTACTGCTATTTAGTGCAAATATTTATTACTCCCTCCGTCCCTGAGTATTTGTCTACTTTTGACTTTTTCGGTCAAAATTGCTAAACTTTGACCTCAAATTAAATAAAAATAATATTAGATACGAAGTATTTTATTTAATTATTGGTCAAAGATTGAAAATAATTGATCAAAAAAAGTCAAAACTAGACAAATACTAAGAGACGGAGATAGTATCTGTGTATGTATAGATCATCTGTATATGCATAAATCCATTTTGGGAGTACCCGAAATGGATTCCTATTGTTTTTGTAATGGGTAATTTGGTACTATCCTAATGTAAGATGTATCTCTCGAAACCAGCGGAAGTGAGAGGGAGTAGTATCCTGTTGGCTTTAGGTAGAGATCAGATATAAACCACACAATACAATTGGGTATTTGGGTGTGATCAAACCTTACAAAAGAAGACACGTACAACTTGCTGTGGCCATACGAAACAGAACAACAACAAAACACACACATTAACAGTTCTGTCATTATATATATGTACGTACTCCATACATCACCTTTTTCATTATCTCCCTTGCAATGTTCTTAATAATTATAATTATTACTTCAATTCCCCACAACTTAATATCTTAGCTACCTGTATGAATTATGATTAACTCATCCATGAACCACAAAAATCTTCACGGCGGGGAGGATGATGATAGAAAAGAACCCATCAACAGATATATTACTATTTATAGCGGAGAGGAAGGCGGCGAGGCAAAAGAACGGCCGGCGGGGGCGGTGGAGGAGGGCGGCGACATCCCGGCGAGGGAGCGGCTGAAGAGGCACCGGCGGGAGGTGGCGGGGCGGGTGTGGGTCCCGGAGATGTGGGGCCAGGAGGAGCTTCTCAAGGATTGGGTGGACTCCAGCTGCGCTTTTGATGCCTCTTGGATGAACGCCAGCATTATCTTAGCTCGTTCCGCTCTGGTGGAAGCCGCCGGCAGAACAACGCCGCCGCAGCAGCCTCGCCGTCCCGCTTCCGCCGCCACCAGATAAAGATCAATAATAGACAACACTTGTTAGTTTGTTTAAGAAGTACTACAATATAATATTCTTTCTTTCTTTTGGTTATTCCACTCTTCTTGAATTTAGTTGTTTGTTTCCAAAATACTTTAGATTCAAGTCTGTCTGTAACTAAATAAAATCCAGCTCTCTTTGCCACAACTTTCAACCTTATTTTAAGGGATAAAAAATGCTAGAATGCCACCAAAAGATTGTTACCTTTGCACCGTTAATTATTATCTATGTCGCACAGATGATTATCATCTGTGTTATCTGTGCGAAACTTGGATGCACCATTTGGGGATCGAACCCTAACATAATCCCATCTTTAATTATATTACTACCTTAATTATCTTTAAATATTTGTTTAGTTTTAACTTTTTTCAGTCAACTGTTTTCAACATTTGACTTAAATTCAGTAAGAAATGTACTCCAATTGTTACGTGCCAAACTCATGCAAACCTGAACATAATCCGAACCAAATACAACTAGATTGATCCAAAAATGTAGAGATTGGAACTAGACCAGTGTTGGTATAAAATTGAACTAAACAGAATATACCATACAAAGTATATCCGAAATAAATCCAAACTAAACAGAGTATATATATGGCCATCTAATACCAATACTTGTACCATTAAGCATATATAAATAAATAATCATGCCAAAATATGCTCGTGTTTGTTATATAACACTCGGCAATGCCCTATGACAAAACTATGTTTGGGAATATTGTGTCCATTTGAAGTTAGTATTATTAATAATTTCTTAATACTAAAAATTAAGTTTAAAAAACATAAAGGGTCCGTTTGGTATACAGAATTGATGAAATTGGAATTGAATTGGAATTGAAAATCTATGAGATTCAATTTCATAGAATTGAATTCACCAATTCCAATTCATTTTTTGCACTATCAATTCCAAATTCACATAATTCTTGTGCTACCAAACACCAGAATTGAAATTGAAATCCTCAATTCCAATTCCATAGTTTGAATTTCATGTACCAAACGAGGCCAAAAGGTAAATGATGTTATCCTTAAGGAGAGTTTACTTAGAGCATCCACAATGGCAACATCTCTCATTAGATGCCCAAGTGTGGGCTCCACTATAAAGATGTTATTCTAGCACCCCAGCCTCTCTCAACATCCTATTCTTTCAATGGAAGCATCTCATTTGGATGCCTAAATATATATTCAATTAGTATAGTGGGTCCACTAAAATATATTTATATTTTATTTTTTGTTAATTATAAGTATTTAGTTATATAATAAATTACGGAGTATTAATTATACAAAACTTGAAAATAGTATATTGAAAAAAACTACTCTTTATATTTTAAAACTAGCTTGTTCTCCATCAATAAAAAAAATCTAAAAACGACCTATTTGGATGTAAATCCATGTTTTAAGAAAAAAATCCTAATTTGCAGCTATTTGTAAAAGAAACATTTACTTAAAATATTTATTGGAATTACAAAAAAAGAGTCGTTGGAAAAGTAGTTAAAAAGAGAACCATTTAAGAAAATTGCCATAAAAAAAGAATTGAATATATATATGACACATGGCACATAACCATTGGATCACAAAACTAAAGAAATAAATGCATGAAACCCTTCCCCCCTCAATTAAAAGCACTAGGGCTATGTGAAGCATCCCCCTCTCTTTGTCTTTCTTGGACATCTATAATGAGCACCCACCTACAATAATAACATCTATCATCATCTCACTCTCTTTCCTCCTAGCATCTCTTGTGGGTATCCCATTGGAGATGGTCTTATATAATACTAAGGGCATTAACAACCATGGGGAATCTACTGCGCTGCACGGATTTCGAGCCCAAATCGCGGCTCGCCTACCACTGCAAGATCTCCACCGCGCTCCTCACCCCAACCGCGGTGCAAAGCCGCGCTCGATTTGTTGCTGAAATTCACAGTGGCCGCCCACTGCAGGCGGTCTGCCGTGCTGGGAAATATTTTTTTAACATATCTTCCACTTCAATACATCGAATCTCATCTCTATACATTTATCTATTTTCTCAATTTCTCTTCATCTCTCTCAAATAAAAAAAAATAGATCTTCATCCAACAGATGATGAAGTTGTGGATATGTTAATTGCGGTGTACCATGAGTACTTATCTTACGTCCAAGCAGAGATGTAACATGAAGTGTCTTGACAAGCTTAGGTGGGCTGCTACTCCTCCCTTTACACGCATGTGCGTGTACATTCCCCGGGAACGTGAGCAGGCCGTTGCCCGTTTGTTTGAAGATTATTTTCAGACGTTCCGCATTTCGGATGAATAGTTCTATCGGTGTTTCCGAATGCATCATGTATTATTCGCTCGGATCGCGGACGCACTTGAAGCTTGCGATGTCTATTTCGAATGGCGTCTAGACAGCTCTGGCCGGCTAGGCCTATCCACTCTACAAAATTGCACAATCACGATTAGGCAGCTCGCAGACGACACCTGTGCTAACATGTTTGACGAGTATCTCCACATCGGTAACTCTACTGGCCGAGAATGCTTGCAACGTTTTTCCCAGGTGTCAATGAAGCTTTCAAGGATACTTATTTGCCAAAGCCGACAGTCTAAGACGTTCAAATGTTAGTCAATATGCACGAGAAAGTTCACAGGTTTCTAGGGATGATTGGTAGTGTGGACTGTATGCATTGGGAGTGGAAAAATTGTCTCGTGGTGTAGAGGGGTGCACTCACAAGCGGATACAAGGGCTCACACCCAACGATTGTGCTCGAGGTTGTTGCCGACCATCGTCTGTGGATTTGGCATGCGTACTCCGGAGTCGCTGGATCGAATATTAATCTAAATGTGTTGAATGGGTCTCCTTTATTCAACGATGTTTGTGCTGGATGTTCGCCAGTGTTGCAATTCACTGCCAATGGTCGCCAATATAACATGTGATTTATTTGGCGGATGGGATCTATCCACGTTGGCCAGTGTTTGTGAAAACAATTACGTGTCTGACAAATCCATAGAGGGCATTGTTTGTGTAAAAACAAGAGTCCGCACAAAAAGATGTGGAACGTCCCTTCAGAGTCCTCCAAACATGGTGGCGATAATGAAACGCCCAACATGCTCATGGTGCCGATCATTCACCTCGGACATCATGTTTGCATGTATTATACTGCATAACATGATAGTTGAAGACGAGGGAGCCGACATCACTCAGTTTGTAGATGAAGCGGTCGCATCCACTTCGAGGGCCACCGTTCTACAAAGCCCAAGAATTCAAGGGCCGCCTCCCAAATTACAAGTTTTTACAAATCGGCGTGCAAGTATACGAGATAAACGAAGCCATGCTACCTCCAAGATGATTTGATTGAAGAAATATGGAGGCACAACAATACTCAATTGTAGCATTAATTTTAAGAATTTTGTTTTTTATTGTTTTTTTGTTTTTTCATTTTAATTATATTTTGGTGTATTTCATATTTTATATTGATCTTGTTTTTAATAAAGAATGTAAATCTTAGCATCTTTATTTTAGTTATATGTATTTTGTTTTTTAAAAAATTATAATTAAAAATGATGAATAATGTAAAAAATGGAGAGACGGATTTTCAGGGCGGTATCATTGCAGAATTTTGGGGAGGACAAAAAGTTAGTGGAGTGTTGATGTGGTAGGAGTTAGGTCGGCGCAGATTTGGGATCATTGTAAATACTCTAAAACACAGTGAGTTTCCCAATTTAGTACCATATGTTTTGATTTTTATCAAATGGTATCACTGTTCAATATCTACTGGACATTATTCAAGTAAATATCTACCGTCATTGGACATTGTTCTAAGTAAATGCCTACCGCCACTGGACATTATTCTAGCTACTACACATTACTCAAACACTATTTAGAAAATAAAAAGTTTTTGGTATCACATTGAGAAACATATATATTTTAATATTATTTAGTGCAAATTTCACGATAGTTTTGTATAATTTCCCTTCTTTCTTTTTTTTTTGGACGTCTTAAGATAATCTTTTCAAGGAATAAATTATGTGCTTAGAAAAAATTTTCTGTCCTCTCAACAAGTGTTAACCTCATTTCTTTTTTAATTTTTAACATTTTTATTAAACTTTGTGAGTTTATTGAGTTTATTAAAGACAGAAGTTTATTTATTTAAAAGGGGGACGGAGGGAGTATCATACGGAGCACGTACTACATGTGAATTTGTGAATAAATTATGAGATCTGATCAAATTATTCTAGTCTACTTTTGCGCTAAGCCCACTTCAGATCTAAATTTATGTTGCTATACTTTGAGCGGTCATGAGACGGGCCTGGGCCACAATTATTGGTAGGTGGGCCTGGATAAAATCCGAGACCCATTCATTTTATGGGAGGGCCCAATTTGGACACTACTTTTAGTAATTCTTGATGTAAAGCTCAACCCAAATCCGCCTCTATTATAAACCCCATTATCCGATTAAGAACTTGTTCTCTTTATTTGATTTGATTCAATCAAAACTAATCTTATTAAGATCTAATCTGATTTGATTGTCGGATTTTAGTACAATAAGCAATATAATAAAACTAAGTTGAGTATTTAAAACCTATATATATACTAGAGTAAAATTGTTCATTGCCGTCTTATCAATGTGGGAGAAAGCTATATGAACCCATTTTTTCACGCTTTCTATTGTTAATGATACTCATTATAATTTATCTTACCCTTGGCGATACCTTTGAATTGGACCATGCTATAATAACATCAAAGATGACATCAAGATTGACACTAATTTCTTACCAATAATTTCCGTCTATGCAAAAAACAACTTAATGGTATCAACCTTTATGTCAAACTTGGTGTTATAGTAACATTATAGCTTCTCATATAGTCATATGCATCCTCTAGTCCATAATACGAATAAGAAAAATACTAGAAACCCACTACGGGTGTGTCCACGAATGACAATCACATATAATTTATACATACACAGATACTCCCTCCGTCCCAGAGTATTTGTCCACTTTCATTTTTACACACCATCTAATACACTTTTTTAATCCATTTTATCTTGTAATTTGTATATTAAAAAATTATAGAAATTATATATTAATAATCTATATGTTAAGACAAATCAAACAAGATCACACAACTATATTTAAGCTTACACATTGAGAGAATTTGATGAGTCAAAGTGCTTAGATGAACAGTTCCAAAAGTCAAAAGTGGACGAATATAGCGGGACGGAGGAAGTAATATTCATCTATAAGCAAAGATAATTATTATTTGTGTATGTATAAATCATTTGTAACTATCATCTCTAGAAACAATTGTGATG